AATCCATGCAGTTTTGTCATTTAGATAGTCATTTAATTTATAATATGCTTTTGTACAGAGAGTTCTTTTTATATATGTCTTAAATTTTCTCTTATTTAAAGACCGTAAACTTAGAACAATCTACTCATCTACACGTGCACTAATATTATAAAGAGGAAAGATTTGTATTTCTGTGTGTATGTATGTTTGTAATGAATAAACTCAAAAACTACTTTGCAGATTTCAAAATCTCTTTCACCATTAGTAAGCTACATTTACCCTGAGTAACATACGCTATATTTATTGCTAGAAAAGATTAGGGAGCCTTACTAAAACTTTAGTAACACAACTCAAGGTGTAAAAAATGTTATAAAATATCTTTCGTCGCGTGCGCTGCGGAAACTATTGGTGATAGAACAAAAGTATGTTCTACAATATTGAAGGAAATATCAATAACTACAAAAAACTTCTCGATACTATATGTCCAACTATTATCGTTATGTCACAATAATCACTGTTTAAAATGTTGTAAAAATGTCCACACGTGCGAAGCCGAGACGGGCCACTAGTGAGTCATAATTTAAGTGATATTATGTTTCTAATTATTAATACATTCCTTTCCCGTGAGTGTAGAAAGGTGACTAAGGGAATTTTTTTTTAATGGATGATAATAGAATGGTAACTCCGCCTGCGCTAACGCTGGCGAGGCACCAGTGAGAGATGATAGGTGAGAATGAAAAGGCAGGTCAGTTAGCCCATCGTGATGGATACACCTGGAACGCAGCACGGTGGTTTCCAGGGGGACTATGTGAATGTCGACCTGACAGGGTATATTGCTAGCAATAGGATTGGTTGTCTGCTTTACTAACAATCCCCTCCCTCATCATTTCTGACCGTTATTCAGTCTACGCACATGTTACAACTTTTATAATAATAATGAGGGTTATGGATGAACCCTTTTCAATCGATTTCAAAAATCGTTCTTAAAAGACAGAGATTCTCAACTCGGTTGCATTTTTTTTTTGTTTCTTATCTGATAACTTGGTCTATTGTAAACCGATTTGGAATTGTCTCTTCATTTTACTTTTATGTAATTAATTATACATTTTATTTGCATACACACTATTAATATTTATAATCTGTATCGCTTTTTGAAGGGAACAATAAAACCTTTTCATTCTGTATAGATTTGTATTGACATAGTTCTCTTAAAATTTTACTAGATGGCGCTGTATAAAGAATATGAAATAAGCGCTGTCTCAGGAATGGTGGCTTAAGTTTAAATAAAACTATTGTAATAAAATAAGTAATTCTCAAACACGCTTTAATTGTTTTATCAATGCAAAAAAAGTACGTAATGTTGCAAAAAGCAAATTGTCTAATAACCTTGGTATTTTTATCTTTTTATTTATTCACCTACCTACTTCTGGAACTTATACACATTCATTCATTCTCTAATTTTCTCGTTCACCAGCACACTGGTGAAATGCACAATTGAGTATTGTAACTTCGGACACATTTGCATCCCAAACTAATTAGCTGATGTTTAGCGGTAAATTTTAGGAATGGCGCGGATTTTGTGTGCTACTGAGGAGGGACGGTGACATAATACCGTTTAAATGGCGCCCGTGCGATTCGAATCGGCTTTTAATTACATTTTAATTGGTCTTAACTGACTTCAAAAGGGAGGGATTTAATAAAAAGACAGTTTCAAAAACAAAATTATTTGTACATTAAAAGAGATTATTTACCAGAGGGAAACTTTGTACAAAAGTCCATTGCTTAGGTACCTCTGTCCTATTTCTGTTTCAACCGTGAAGCAGTTGTGTTTGCATAGCTGTGTTTCGGTTTGAAGGGTGGGATATGGCGTGAAATTACTGGGTACAGAGGAATAACATCTGAGTCCTCAGGAATGGCAACGCATGGGGGGTAGCATGGGTGAAACAGTATACTCTGTTATGTCCATGGTACTGCTCATGTCTATAGGCGACGGTTATCACTTTCCATCAGGTAGACCGTCAGCTTGTTTGCCATTCTAAGTTGTATTAAAAAAAAAAATCTCGAACTATAATATTTGAGTGTATGTAACGTACATAATAACATCGACCGTTCTGAACGGTATTGTTTTCTATTAAATGAGTTCCTATATCATATGTCTTGTAATATTTTTGTACAGATTTATTTTTTAAAGAGAAATTGCTCAGAAATAAAGGGATTCCTAATTAATAAGTTTTTTTTTTGTTACGCTATAACATTTTTTTAATACATTTTTTGTTTCAATATAAATAATTGAAAATATGATCAAGTTTAGATTGAATTAGTAATAAATCGAAACATTAAATTAAATAATCGATTTTTTATTTATACTTCTATTGCACACCAATTGTTTGTTTACATTTTATTAGACTTCAATTAAAATAGACTATAGCATCTTCACAGGCATAAGCATAGGATAGGCCGTCCCTTCCTTTCGCATGGGTGTCGTAAGAGGCGACTCCCTTAATGATCGACGGATGGGTAGCTGCGTCCCTCTTAAAATATTACCAAATCGACATACAATTAATTATCAGTCTATACCTACCTATAATCGTGGAGGCTCCTGCATAGAATAGGTCACCCCTTCCTTTCCCGTGGATTTCGAAACCGACTAACGGAACTTATGGTGGAGGATTGGGCAGCAGCGTCTCTCTTAATATGTAACTAAAAGCTTAACTGCAGCTGCCAATCTTTCCGCCAAGTATGGCAACTATTGACACAACCTCCCTTATAGAGGAGGCCTATATTCAACAGTAGACGGTTAACGGCTGATATGATATGGTACAGTATATTTAAACTAACAAATACACAGTCGTGCCTCCGATCAAACTGTTTATAACTTTGTACAAAAATCGATTGCTTGGTTACCTCTGTCCCATTCGTGTTTCAACCGTGAAGCAGTTGTGTTTGCATGGTTGTGTTTCGGTTTGAAAGGAAGGGAAGGCAAACAAGCTGACGGCCCACCTGATGGAAAGTGGTATCCGTCGCCTATAGACATGAGCAGTACCATGGACACAACAGAGTATACAATTTTGCCCATGATACCCCTCATGCGTTGCCATTCCTGAGGACTCAGGTGTTATTCTAGTAAATTCACGCCATATCCTACCCTTCAAACCGAAACACAGCCATGCAAACACAACTGCTTCACGGTAGAAACACGAATGGGACAGAGGTACCCAAGCAATCGACTTTTATACAAAGTCTCCCTCTGGTATCTATCTATTATTATCTACGTAAACACTTCCCAACTACTAAGTCAACGAAACATTGAATATCGAAACATTATTATCAATAACTTCGTGGACACAATTTATTGGATTAAATTCTCTCAATTTCCGACCAATGCAAGTCGGTGGACAGCTCAATTTAATATTAGATCACACGCTGCGCTTGGTCCTACGTACTCGTATGTGCAACGCTTGCAATTTTGGTGCTCATCACCTGAAATTGGTTTTGTGGTTTCGAGCGCATGTAGAGAGACGGATATTGAGTTGGAAGTCGAAAACCTAGCTGTGTTACTTGTACATTTTAATAAATTTGTTTAAATTTATGATTTATATCTTACTAGCTTTTACCGGTAATATATATATATATATATATATATATATATATATATATATATATATATATATATATATATATATATATATATATAGTATTGCACTTTTAAACTTTTAAATTATATTGTTAATGCATTTATAAATATTGTGAGTTGTAAGCGAGGATGGGCTTATCTCTGACAGATCTGAGAGATCTCTTCCAGTCAGTAAATACAGTTGGAAAGTATGTCGTTAACGGGCAGGCTAAAATGCACGTATGTATTGATTATATATAAACAAATAAACAGTTGAATGAAATATTAATATATATGAACATATCATATTTATTTATTTTATAGTATAAGTATTTATGTAATATTCTAATATATATATATATATATATATATATATATATATATATATATATATATATATATATATATATATATAAAATAAAATAAATAACTATGATATGTTCATTATATATTAGATATTGTTTAGATATTTGTATATTATATATATATAAAATTTTGTATATAATTAATATACATCAATAATTAATTAACTATATTCAAATGTCAAAATGTAAATAAATTAATATTTCAATTATCTTTATTTAAAAAAAGTAATTTTCATTAGTCAAAATTCATCTCCAATTCATATAATACGTGTATACCAAAATACCTATTCATCGACCATTTAATCCCTTTAGTCGCCTCTTACGACACCCACGGGATAGGAAGGGGTGGCCCATTCTATGCCAGGACTACACAATAATCTGCATTGAACTACATAAACTAATTAACAAGAATAACTGAACTTAGTGCAGTGCTTACCTAGTAAGACGGGAAAATGGCAAATTTACGGAGAACGATAAGCATTTAGCATATTCCTGGTGGAATAGATTTAATTTAAAGTTCAGTACTGAGAAACACCTAGAACTTATGTCTGTAATTAATTAAGCAGATTTGGTGTAGTAACAGATATACAGGTGTAACAGTTAGGTTTTAATAAACCAGAAGTCTTACCAGAGAGAGACTTTGTACAAAAGTCGATTGCTTGGAAACCTCTGTCCCATTCGTGTTTCAACCGTGAAGCAGCTGTGTTTGCATGACTGTATTTCGGTTTGAAGGGTGGGATATGGCGTGAATTTACTGGGTACAGAGGAATAACACCTGTGTTCTCAGGAATGGCAACGCATGGGGGTATCATGGGCGAAACAGTATACTCTGTTATGTCCATGGTACTGCTCATGTCTCTAGGCGACGGTTACCACTTCCCATCAGGTGGGCCGTCAGCTTGTTTGCCATTCTAAGTTGCATAAAATTGCCATAATTGCCGTGTTTATTCTATGCCGGGACCATACGGTCAATATATTTGTTAATATGTATATACATATATATAAACACACATATACTAGTATGATTTATATAGAATACTTACCGTTATAGCTGTTAATATTGTAAATGTGAGCAGAGCCCTCGCCATCTTGTCAGAAATGGTTTCCTGCGCCCCTTGACATACTAATCGACTACGTTGCCAGCATCTGTAACAAGTAATTTATTTTAAATTAATTCCACTAAATAAATATGAAAATTCCAACATGGCGTACAATGTTAGGGGTGTCGCGTGTGTGTTGCTGATTTGCAGTGTAATAAATTTGTAAAAAATTTTATTACTTAAATATTTTTTTTTTTTGTATATAATTAATGTGGGAGACCGAGACATAGTTACATCAAGCAGATCAAGGAAGGAGTTGGTGTCGTGTCGTATCAAGAGGTGAAGAGACTCGCTGAAAATCGTAGTGAGTGGCAAGAGCTCCACCGACAAGAGCGCAACTCTTAAATGGATAGATAGATAGATAAGTAATGTTATATTAATAAAATGTTTAATTGTTTTTTGTCTAAAAAAAACTTTCTGTAAAGAAATAATTTCAAATTATGTTGGACAAAAAGACGACTGTGATAGTAGTAAAACAAAATATTTTGATTTAATAACTAAACTACTGAACCGATTTTAATAAAATTTCTACGAGACTAATAAATATATATAATGTTAGATAGTCATTAGTCATTTATTAAAAAAACAATGTACATTGTGTCTGAAATAACGGATAAACATACAAAAATCATTACATTAACTTGAATTTTACAACCAACCATCGACCTGGCTCACAAGGTGACTGAAATGTGAGGGGTAACGTCCACCGAAATCATTCCAATCGTTATGTCGGTGAACGGTCTTATCCCAACCAGTCTGGGGCAACATCTCAGACGGTTGGGATTCCGAGGCGGCTCACTTCCGGGAAAGATGCAGAAAGCGGTGCTTTTAGATTCTGCCGGCATTGTACGCTGGTTGCTCTCCCTAGGGCCCTGAACCCGAGCCATAATACGTCAATAAACTAGGACAATATTATTCATAACTCTCCATTCAATTTGGAGAAAATATTTTAATATAAAAACATTTTTTTATTATGAAAAAAAAAATTGGTTTCTAAACGACAGTAACGAATAGTCCTTGCCCTTTTATTTCATATTCTTTATTCCTATTTCGTAACGTAATCACGAGTCGAGATCCAGCGGAGCGCATTTCACAATGAAATAAAAGTAATTAAATTAGTACATACATACATACAAATCTGTCCCGCCTGTCTCCCGTTAGGGTAGACAGAAACAATGGAACGTCAAATGCTAATTAAATCAGTCATTTATTTAAAAAAAAAGTACGATTAGTTTATGCATATTGAACTGAATTGTCCACGTATTTCGATATGGACAATTTACTTGGTAGGTTGCCAACACATGGAGATGTCAAAACAACGTAGTGTATCCTACGATATTTATTGATGGTGATTACAACTTTTCATCAGGAGAACCGTCAGCTTCTTTATCATTTCAAGTTGAATTAGATAGATAGATACTCTTTATTGTTTCCTCCAAAAGATTACAATAGTAAACTTATTCTAGATATAAACAAGAAATAATCACCATAAGAAAACAATGGGCGGCCTTATCGCTAAAAGCGATCTCTTCTAGACAACCTTTGGATGGAGAGGAGTAATTATAAATAAGTAAGCGTTAAGTCTTAAAAATATAACAATAGTTTTTATTTATAATAATTAACTTTAAACTTGATCGAGTCTATCTCTTAATCATTTAAAAAAAAAAATGCCCTAGAACAGTAAATAATTTCTAATGTATCATAAAATGTTACATCAGAAATTATTTACTTAAATACAATGTAAAAAGTTCTAATGTGATGTATTATTTCTTATCCAATTTCAAAATGTGCGCGACGCGCTCCCACTCTCCCCGTTTTGTGTAAATCGTGCTTAATGCTTCTGTAATTCTTTAATCAACCGACATGCCTACAAAGCAGTCGTTTAATTAAGATTTTTTTTTGTTTAAAAATATTTTAGTACAATTTGTAAATGCTATAAAAAGGTTCTTGTTATTGTAATAGCTGGAGGCTTTAAACATCTTTTGAGGATCGACTGACTGTCTGTTTCTGTTATGTAGATTTTATATAATTCGAACGTAATTGACGTATTTTTAGCCAATATTATTCTTATTTGTCGTGTGGTCTAGGTACAGAATAACTTATTAAAATTTTTTTTTCATACGTATTTTTTTTCTTTTCTGGACTAGCTACATATATTAGTTATTCATTTCATTTCCAGTAGGTATCGTAAGGGTCGACTGAAGAAACTTAATTGTCGAGGAATGGGCAACAGCTTCTTTCTTTAAACATCACCAAATGATGTATGATATGAGTATGATGCCTGCGGCCACTTTCTATCATCGTATGGCTAGCCATCGACAGGGAGTTCACCCTCAGCACCTTACAGCCTAAATGGTCGCGTACAACGCGGTTTCAGAGATGTTTTCTCCCACGAATACTCAGGCTATGGAATGAGCTCCCTGCCGAGGTTTTCCTAAGAGACTACAGCATGGGGTTCTTCAAAAGGGGGTAAAGAGGTTTCTTCAGGGTCGGCAACGCGCGCGTAATATCTCTGGTATTGTAGGCGTTCATAGGCTACGGTAACCACTTACCATCAGGTGGGTCGTACGCTTATTTGCCACCTAAGTGGTATAAAAAAAGGCTGTTTTGACGCCGAAGAAAAGCTTATTCACATAATTCTGGAATGTGAAGCTTTGGCCCTTCAACGTTTAAAAATCCTCGGCACAGTAAGGTCGTTCTGTAAAGCCTGTAAAGATCCCAGGAAGCTTTGTTTCTTCTGGGCGGAGCTGGACTAGCTGTACTAGCCATGACTGATACGCAGAATGGCCCAAATGAGAAGTTGAGCGCAGAAAATAGAGTTCAATTTATATTGCGTTATAATGGTAGTTTTGCCAGTAGTATCCATACTTGGCAGACGGGTTGGCGACCGCAGTTAGCCTTTGGTGATGTTTTAAAAGGGACACTGCTGATCATTCCTCGACCATTAAGCTTCCTTAGTCGCCTCTTACGACACCGACGGGAAAAAAGTAATAACTACATAATTAGCGCAGAAAAGAAAAAAATAATCTATGGGTTAGTTGAGAAGCTCCACCAATTAGGAATCATTTAAAAATAATAATAAAAATATTATTAATTATTATTATTTTTACTTAAATAAATCAAATAAATAATAGATAAATCTATTTGCCATATGACAGTAGTACCTTATTTTTACATTTTACTAAATATAAAATACATATTTTACCATTGGGAGTAGTCAGAATCTGTACTAGGATATCCTGTGTTACGGTATTCTGGCCCCCATATATAGCCCTCGACGAAAACTGCTTCACAGTTGGCATTTACAATGGCTATATAATTGTAAAATGTTCCGTTTCGCTCCCATCCACAGTTCCAGTCGTAACCACTCCGCGTATCAACATTTCTGTCACGTATTGCTCGGATATGTCGGCTGTTGAATCGTCATTTTGATTTTTGTATTATTGAAAGCAATGCTTCATTTTTTTTTCAAGGTTATGTCGCTTGTTGGCGAACAAATAGTTTAATTTAAGAAGTAAAAAAGAATATATTAGTTTCTTAAAAAAAAAGTTAATAACTAATTGTATATAAATATAACACTAAAGATTTTGCAACCTACATTATATTTGACTTTGTTTTTGAACACTTTTTGCACACAGAATCCAAATATGTAGTGGAAGCTTAATAAAAATTGTATATTATAATACACATACACACACACACACACACACACAGAGAGAGAGAGAGAGAGAGAGATACATATATGTGTCTGTGTGTGTATACCGCTTTATCTGCTGATATTGTTGCTCTTTTACTTTGGATTTGCTGAAAGAGATCTCTTACAGTGTTATGCTAGCCTTTGTACCATTGTCATATTTTTATTGATAGATTTATTTATTTATTTGCTAGAACATTGTTTTTAGAGTTATTAATTATAACTAAGTATAATAAATTAAAAATAAATAGATAACATAATTAATTTCTAGTTCGCTATAATTTTTTTCATTTTTTATTTATTCTTTATTGACCACATTAAAAAAAAAATATTGGCACAAAGATTACTTAATTCTAAATAACATTCTCTCCCAGACTACCTTATAGTATTTTCAATTGTTTCTAAAAATTGGCAGACAACTCCGATATTGTTACTATGATATAATATTATCAGGTATTTTTTTACAACACAGGGGGCAATACTAAAGGCATCGTAGGTGTACTGCCGGCCTTTTAAAAAGGAATATGCTCTTTTCTTGAAGGTTATGATGTCGTATCGGTTCGGAAATACTGCTACTACTTTTATTACTATAAAAGTGTTGTCATTTAAAAGTGTTCGTCATATAGATTTACAATTTCATCGACACTTTCATTCTATGAAGTGGACGTCACAGTGTATCGGTCGCGAAAATCTATTATCCAGCAAATGGAAAAACCGTGTCTGTTCATAAATAATTTATTTTTAACCCGCCTTTATTTTAAACTATTTTGTGATAAAAACAAAAAACATATAAAAGTCAATTTGTTTATGATACATGTGTCCGTTAGGATATTTTAAATGTTATCAGTTCGAACGATGTTGTTTTTTTTAAAGTCTATCTTTTTCTAATTTACAAATATAAGATAAATATGTGTGTAAAAATGTATGTGTGTGCATGTGTACATGTGCGTGTGGGCATGAGTGCGTGTGTATGTGTGTATGTGTGTGCATGTGTGTGTATGTACATGTATGTTGATTGCGTGCTTGCATGTTTGTTTGTCTTGTGTATGAATGACACTGAACTGAACTGTACTGTAATTGAATATTATAGCTTTCTATTCGCAACTAGGCATAAGTGATGTGGATACTGCGCCGATATCTATATATTAGGTTCCTTTGAACATTGATAGTGGAAGAAGGCCATCATCTACTCGATATCATCCATTTCGGTCAGATATCTATCTCCAAATATGTTAAAAATCTGTTATCCAATTATTTTTATAAATACATACATATATATTTGTAATTAAAGGGAATGTTGCGTTGGTGTGGCCATTTGGAAAGGATGGATAAAAGAAGAATTACGAAACAGA